AGTAGAATGTATAACCGGCACACAGTGCATGCAACTTACCTTGCTAACTGAGCCGGGTCTCATTGAGCGCCGCAAGATCGATGTTGTAACGCAGTAATTCCATCGCAACCAGTGCAGCGCGTCGCTCAGGGCGCTCACTGGAGTTCCCGTCTAGTAGTGTGCGCACGTTCCAGCACCCGATGCTGAGTGCTTTGTGCGCAGGCATAAGATTGCATCGGTGAGCAATCGTACGCGAGGTGGCGATTGTGCTTCGGAGGTTTGCTTGAGGGACTCCGCACGAAGCCTTGGGCTAAATAGCCTGATCCACAAGGCAGTGGAGAGCAGATCCAGCTCGGGAATGTGATTGCAGAGATAGATTAGGATCTGCTTGACGGCCGTCATACGCAGCGTTCGAAGACCTGAAACAATGTTTCGCGACCGTAGTAGGATACGCATCTGCGACCACGGCCAGATGTAGGAGGGGTTTTGCGGGTTTGCACCAATTTGACCAAGGGATACCTGGCTTAAGGCGGGCAGCAGCAAACCGCTGAACACCTGAAGGTGCCCATCCACCGTCAGAGATAATGCGTGGTGCTCGTGCTCTACGCCAATCGAGCCGTGAGCTTATAACCCGTATACATATTGTCTTCCATGGCTAGGTTTTACGGGAAGAGGGTCATCGACCACTTCCTAACCCCCGAAGAGGATGGACTAGGATACTGGCGAAGCGCCTACACTTGACAGGAGAACGACTCGAGTCCTCAGCAAAAGCTCTCGATTAAATGTATACCAGAAAAGCAGCGGGTCTAGCACATGGTCAGTTCACTGACTCATGCGGATTGGTGTCCTGGATCCTAGCAGGGAGGGCGTAACCCAGCTCCTACCCAGCGGTCGCTACGATGCGTCCAGGACATGAACGTATGGCACATGTGTAGCAGCAGTGGGTAGACCATCTGTCAGGATCTAGCCATCACAAGCCTCAACGCACCATAAGCTTTCCCGCCTCACATATATATATATATATATATATATATATACATGGTAAACTTTGTGATATATTGTATTATCAAAAATATCCATGAACTCCATATCTACCTCTGGTGAGTCGTAGTTCCATCAAAGACCAGTCCTTTTTACAGGTATTTCAAACGGAGGTTTATTATGCATGTAGCTCAATCTTTCTCTTGTCTAAATCCAGTTTACTGCACTATTCAATATGCCTATTAAGAAAAGTTGATAATGTGTCTCGTTCCCGTTATCTTTTATCACAGTATTCGTTCTGGACTGTGAGTAGTGTGTAGAGTGACTATACGACACGCGCTAGTCACTTTGCTAACCAACAGGTCCACAGTGGAAGAAGTTTAATAATTACTGCTAGAAGTCACGTACCACCACAAGTGTTATTCAAGCGTGAAAAAAGCAAGAGTCAATTGGGTAACTGAAACTTTGTTGAATTTAATCCACCCACTGAGCTAGACGAGGATCATTGTAAAGAATCGGCGCACAGGTACTGTCCCAGAATGCGCCACTGATGAGTGAATTGCTAAGACAAGTACCGTAGAGTAGTTCGCAGACTCTGTCCTTGCTCGTTTATTTCCTCAGCATTCTGATAAACTAGGTCTCTGGGCGACCTCGCAGATTAGTTCGACATACTCCAAATAGCCCATGTAGTGGAATTGCATTCCGAGAAGTCAGGTATCCACATACTATATTCAAAAAAATTCATTTACTTTCCCATACCAGAAACCATGTGGTAGCGACCTGTATCGCGGAGAGTGTAACTCCGGTTTCATTCGCGGCAGCTGATATTCTACTCGCTCGAAGATTAGTGTTATCAGGGTAATTAAATGATAATACGCAAGGTGTTGTAGTGACCTTGCCCAAACGTGTTCTGAGACAGGATACCAGTTGACAATGGAGGAGGTAGTTCGACGCACTTCTCGATAAAAGTGAGCGGAAATCGTTAATGGAATTAATGCATGAACATGATCGGGGCAAGTTTGACGGAATGAACAGCCCTCAAGAATGAAACAAAGCTATCTGGTGGGCTCTACTTAGGTCCATCACAGGCCAGTTGCTAGAATATATCAAGTGGTGCACCTCAGAGTCATATAGAAATAATAGTTGCACTAAACGATGAGAATGGCTTGTGCGTTCGGTACTGTAACCGAACCTATAATCTAAGCAACCTTTGGATGCATCTAGACGACCCACATGTAAACTCATGTTAACTGCAAAACGTCTGAGTTGCTCCAAGTACATGAGAATGCAACAAATCCCTGAGTTAGGCAGCCCGGCAATGCAGTTCCTTGGAGTAATGACAACAATCGCAACTGAACTGAACCGAGCGTTGCTCTGTAAACCTACCCAGGTCCACGTTTTTCAGTGAGTCATTCACAAAAGTCTGTTCGTTAGAATGCAACCAGTGGGGAGTCGGTTTCGGTGTTCAGAACGGTGCTTCACCTGAGGTTGCCGCATCAGCTTCGATGAATACGTGCAAACAATGAAGTAAGAAGCTGGAGGGAGTTAGTTCTATAACTGTAGTATAATTGCGAATTCCTAGTCGGAGACGCACCAGACGGATAAAATGCGTGCTTGGATGCAACCGAAGAAATCAGGTGGCTTGGCGTGATGATATTTTTGTTGCAAGACTATTCCGCACTGTGCTGCTATGGAAGTGGAAGACAAATCTTCGCGAGTGAGATGGCTGGTGGCCCAGGCTCAATAGTTACCAAAGGAATGCAGTGTTCCTGACAGAAATTATCAAACAAATACTGTTGTCGACAACAGGTAGTAGTCTGTGGGCTGGTGCCATAGGTTCGTAAAATGGAATCAAAGACATCTCTGGTCAGCGCCAAAGAAAATGTAGCTTAATCAAAATCACCTCGAATAGATGGCACGGTGTGCTCAACGAAGTACCTATACAATTTTGGGCTCGTGAGAGTCGACCCCCCAGAAGGTTGGTAGTATCGCAATGAAGAGACATGAGATCGTTGAGGCATGTGTAATCAGGTGGCGGAGGTGCAAAAAGATGAAGGCAGCGGGTAAACAGGCGCATGGTTTGTAGTTCAAAGGTTATTGGTTCGAACACGCTAGGCGCTGGTAACCTCATAGTATCCCATCCCATACGTAACTAGTGGTGACTGCGTGGTAGTGAGGCGTCGGTAAGGAGTCTCGGCGTACTGCGACTAGATGCTTTTCCTCATGACATACAATCTACTGAGCAAAGGAAAATAACGAAAATACAGATATTTCATAGCGAAGCACCGATTTATTATATCCCGGTGTAGATAAATAACGACTACCTTTTTGAGTCGGGAGCTTAATGCTGCCATAGCAAAGCAAAACAGCCAAACAACCCGCGAATATGTCACAATGATAAAGGATACTCTCGACTAGAAAATACGGTCATGCAGAAGTTGGGATGTAGTCATGCAGAATCCCTAGTTACAGTGTAATAGCGAACAAAAAAGGGTCAACAATTTGACGATGCGTTGCATCGAGGCTTAGTTACTATGTGAACACAATTAGTTGCGCGTTGAATAACGATATCGCGAGAGGCCTGAACATGCACAGACACGATTTGGTGACTTGAATTACAAGGTGAGTGCAACATCCTTCGGGTTAATCTGCCCGTATAACCCTTCAAGTCAGATGAACCAATGTAATTGGTGGCCCCATTTCAGCAGTTATTGGGCAAGCGAGGTTCAATGCTCATCACTTTCTTACTACTTAGCTGAGCAACTATGCGCCGCTTGGTGTACAATGATATCAATAAATAAATAAATATGGTTGCCGACTTCCGGTTTCGGATTTGCCTGTCACTGTGGCCAGCGACAGAACGCCTGCGCCTACAGAAGGACCATGGGTGGCTTGCGCTGAACCACCCACAGCTCCATCCACACACCCCATATACAGTGTAAACCTGAAGGAATAACACTGGGAGGCATGTGGATGGGAGCCACGTTTCATTAACGGAGCCGGCCCACACTCTTTCACAGGCAAACACAAGCACGCTCTATTTGGGGAATCAAGCGCACACAATGCGGTGGCTGGATCGTAGTCCGCTCCACACTGAGTGCATGGAACCACTCTTCGAGCCTAGCACAGCCACAAGAACCGTGCACCCGGTCCCCTCCAGCAACGACCAACTGTCTCCTGGAGCCAGTATGGACGAGGTAGTGGGTAATAGACAAGTAGGCACCTTGTCAACATGCACACCAAGCGCAGCCACACCGGCGATATCAAGCAACAGCCAATCACCTGGAATGACAAGATGAAATAAAACAAATCCAATAAGGCGTACGGATACGGTGGCATAACGCTTCGCTAGATTAGCATATGAAGTAAGTTGGTTAGCAACAAATCCGTGATAAGGAAAAATGTCCATAAGTTAGTTAAAAATGCTACAAACGCAACAAAATTACCGAAGATAAGCGCAATTAATGTAAGCAACGTGGGCAGTTAATAGAAGAGTATTCAGGTAGGCAGAACAAACCAAATAAAGTGGAATGAAATTTAGCCAGCTTAAAAAGACCTAGTTTAAGTGTAAGTTGGTTTAGCCCAAATCTTAGTGTTTAAAGGTCAGAAATAGTGTGACGAGTGCCACGACGTCTGACAATGCGACCGCGCGATATCCGATGCAGTAACGAACCACCGACTATGGCGATGCCGAAGCAGAACAGCACTCTAGCTGCCTTAGACTGAAAAAACAGCGCTAATTTTGAGGAAGAGCTGGTTACCGGACCATGCCGCAGCCATGACGCCAATCGAAAATACGAGAATTACATGAGTACGCGCGATAAGCAGAAGGTGGGGCACTAATAAACAGCGAGCAGAATCATTACATGCAAGAGACGTAGTGTGTGAACAATAAACAATGGCGAACAGAGCGGAGGTACATGGAGGAAAGTGAGGACGAGTGAACAACAGATGAAACATCCTGTCATCTATTCACAATAATTGTTTGGGATCACGAAGTTTAAAGACGATGCGGAAAACGAAATTGTGGGTTGACTCACCTTGAGGAATTGTGCCTGGTTCCGCTCCCACAGAATTCGTTGATAATCGCGAAGTGACAGACGCCCCTTTCTTGAAGGGTAAGGTAATGATCAATCCCGTATTTGTGCCAACCCAAAGATGCGTGTTGAACGCCGAAAGAGCGGTGACAGAGTGTGTAGAAGATTGACAACGACCAATCAGTGGGAGAGGAGAACTCACTGATGTGGAGCAGAGTAAAAAATATATATATATATATTTATTTCGTAGAAAGTAGAAGTCACGATTAAAATTCACACAGAATAATGTGCCTCGACGGGGAATCGAACCCCGGTCCATGAATTTCCGGTCCGCTGCTCTACCACTGAGCTACCGAGGGCTACGAACTTTACTCTACTCACAAACATCCACAATTAATATATATATATATATATATATATATAATGATACAACATAAAGAGTATGCCGAAATGGACTGGATCGTCAAGCCAGGACCCCTTTACTAAACTTAGCAACAAAGCAAACCATGGTCGCTGATGAGGGAAGAAGTCAAAATCTGTGACAACCAAGCAGTGTGGACTGTTGCTCTGCCACTGCATTAGACACAGAGCTACTGCTAACAAAATGTATGGGATATTTTCTCGCAACCCCCAAGAAATGTCGATTGGAAAAAGATGGACGGCTGAGTGGAGTGAAGTGACGGACTACTGGTGAACCGGAAAACAGTTCTCTCTACTCAAGCTGCTTCGCCTCGTTCTTGCAGTTGAAAACGGAAGGTAAACGAGGTCACGAGTAGTACAATGGAACCTTGCCTATACAACGGCGGCGGTGATTTGAGGGTTAGAGTTACCCCAAACCCGCCTGGATAATAGACCAAATGTAAATTGGGTCACATGGTGTGAGGTAAAAGACTTTAGAGACCGGCGTTAACCTATAGCTCAGGATAGTTGATGACTGCCACGTACGCACTTGAGTAATGATCGTGAACAAAGGCGCTTACATAATTGGTCGACAATAATCTTGTCTTACCTTCCTTAGTTCATTGGCCTTTCGTTTCGGCATTTCTAGCCACTGTAATGTAGGAAGCTTTCAGTAAAGCGGTTCTCTACTACGCCTGTGCGCTAAGTTCTGTCCATACTTAACATCCTGGCGAAGAGGTAAAACTATCGCCATGTTACACCTTCTTACATTACTTCGGAACATTCTTGATGAGAAACTAACCCCGCTACCTGGAACGGGTGGAGGAGCACGTTTCTGGATTATTTAGAGCCGTCTTGTAGCCAAACACGGTACTATAAGAGAGATCCACAAGATTAAATTACTGTGACAAGTTTTAAAAAATGAAGGCCAAAGACATCTTGATGCCATCTATGCTGGTGAGAAGGCGATAATTACCGCCTCGATAAGAACGGATTACACGTGTTAGAAGATAAATTCAAGCCCACCCTTGTCGCATCCGAACCCAAGAATGAAGCTGAACTTCGATCATTTTAGGGATGTTTCCTCCCGATCGTCGCTTCTTATCCAACGTCTCAACATTATTTGCACCCTTTTACGAACTGTTGTACAAGGGGAAGTACTTGACTTGGAGTCAGGATCAAAGAAAGACCTTCACAGATGCAAAAAGAGTGATCAGTGCCTTCCCGTATCTCGTGCATTTCGATCCAAGTCGGCCTCTAGTGCTGCAGTGTGATGCGTCCCCACGCGCAGTAGGGGTAGTCCTTTGCCATTGGACGGATGACGATTCTCTTCGTCCACTCGCTTTTGCTTCGCGCACCCTGCAACCCCTTGAAAGGAGTTACTTCCAACTGGACAGAGAGGCCTTAGCGATTGTTTTCGGAGTCAAGCATTTCCATCAGTAGGTCTGGGGAAAACAGTTCGATATCCACACTGACCTTAAACCACTTTTTTCGCTTCTGGGTGAGGAGAAAGGAATCCAACAGATGTCTTCGCCACAAGTGCAAAGGTGAGCACTACTTGTGAGCGCCTATAACTACCAACGTCAGTAGGTAAACGGACCAAGTAATACCGTTGCCGAGGCAGTTAGTCGCCTCCCGCAGCAGCATGGCACAGAAATGAACAATGAACCCACGGAGTTTATCAATCTGATGCAACACCTTGAAAAGACACCGATCTGGAGTGACGTGATGCGGCACCTGACGGACCAAGACCCTGCGTTGTCGATGGTGAAACGGCTCTTGATGACTGGATGGCCTACAAGTACATCAGACGAACTGAAACCATTCGCCTGTCGGAGTAATAAGTTGTGTCTATAAGAAGGCTGCATACTTCGGGGATCGCGCATAGTTTCACCAGACGAACTACGGGCCCCCAGTTGCTGAGAGACCTGTATGACGCACACCCCGGCGTAAAAAGGATGAAGACGTTGGCACGTGTATACTGTTGGTGGCCGAACATTGATCGGGATTTATAGCGGATGCTGAAAAACTGCGAGCAATGTTAGAAATACCAAAAAGAAAAATCTCCCGGACCGATACACTCATGACGTTGACCAGATGGGCCCTGACAGCGGGGACACGCGGACTAGTTCGGCCCAATCAATGGATTGATGTGTCTACCTATTGATTGATACCAATACTAAATGGATAGAAGTACATCCAATTCCACATGCGACTTCCGCAGCAACAGCTGCAAAAACGCGCTCTATATTCGCTATATGCCCCGACAACGGGACACCATTTACCAGTGAAGAGTTACAACAGTTCCTGAGTAACAACGGAATACAGAACATTAAATCTGCGTCGTACCATCCTGTGTCGAATGGAATGACAGAACGTGCGGTTCCGACTGTTAAACAAGGTCTCCTCAAGCAGATTCATGGAACTTTACAAACTATCTTGGATCGTCTACTGTTTCGTACCGCACGAGACCGACTGAATAGACAAGGAAGCCACCCGAAGAGTTAATGTTTGGCCGGCAAGTACGAACGAGACTGCAACTACTTTTTCCGAACTCTCGAAGGTGAATGATGTGGGGATGACAAGATGCCAGAGGAAATGTGTCTTAATGATTTTGATCCGGTATACACAAGACTGCCTCACGAAGCAAGCTGACAACCTGCTACGCTTATGTCCTCAACGAGTAACCAAGAGGAGTTACAGCTGGAGGAAGGCCGTGTGGTGCGCCGCCATTTTGACTATATCCGGCCACACTCAATCGAACCGCATGAGCGGGATCAAAAATCGACTGCCACTGACGCAAAAACGGATGAAGAATCTGCCCCACAAAAGTAGGAACCGCAAACGGACGCGGAACAACATTAGTTAAGAAGCTCAAAACGCACGCCGAAGCCAGTTGATCGGTACCAAGCAGGAGTCTGCAGCTTTTACCAGGAAAGAGAGAGGTATGGCGTATGTAGTCGAGTAGTGATCGTGAACACAGGCACTCACATAATTAACTGACAATAACCTTGTCTTACCTTCCTTATTTCAGTGGCTTTTCGTTTCGACATTCCTAGCCACTGTAACGTAGGAAACTTTCATTAAACGGTTGCATGCTATGCCTGCGCGTTCTGTTCCGACTATCGGGTACGGCTCACATTTAAGAGTGACAAACAGCTCGGATACGTTACGTATACACATGGGAGGCCATTGCATTTGAACAAACTGCCAGCTGGATGATAAAAGTACAAGTGGTAAAAAGATGGCCGGCACCAGTGTCGAAAAGAGGTTACTTCAGTAGAACAAGCTGGACGGTTTCACACAAACGGTAGAAATAAGTAACATCCTTTTTGAGAAAATGAAGTGTGAGCGGGTGATATAAGCAAAGTCCTTGGGTCGCGTCTCTAAGGAGTGAAATGAATCTTAGGAGCTTGAACGAGAAGTGCGACGAATGTCAAGTGACTATTGCCCAACGATAGTTGTCACATATATACACCCACAGGTAGAGGTTTTATTACAGCGAAAATATCCAGACTCGCGCATTACTGGGACCCCCAGGTCAGATCGGATTAAAATAAGGCCACTAAGCACAATGCGAGGAAAGCTGAAAACAATAAGAAAATGGGAATAACTAAGACGCCATTCGTCAAAGTTTTGAATTGGTGGAGTGGGATATAGTAGCTAAGAGACGAAATCCAGGCAAAGGATTAAAGACGGTTGAAGAGAGAGAGAGCACTTGTGAATCTCGCACCAAAGAGATGCGCGCCATGAACCTGATCTGCATCCTGAGTGAAGTGATGGTGAAGGATGAAGATAGCTTCATTTTGATGATATACGGTTTGTGTAGCTAACTGGTACAATTCGTTGCACTTACCGTGCGAGGAGTAACTAACAGAAGTAAAGAAAGTGTGGCTAACTGATGATGATATACAGTTGATTAGTAGTCCTAAAGAAGACTAATAAAGTTAGACGACAACAAGTCTCTGAAGGAAAAAAATTGGCAAACAGGCAGATCGAACTTCTTCTAGAATGAAGTACAAGTGATAAGCAAAGGAAACAGAGTAGAATTACTAAAGACATCTATAATCCCGCAGAGCACAGCTGTAATGTGAAACTTAATGTGCACCGGTTGTTTTCTGGTAGAAATCCATTCAAGAAATTCATGGAAGGGTTTTATTAAATTTAATTACCTTCGCTGAACAAGCCCCTTTGGCAAATGCCTAGGATAACGTGAGCACTCACTAAGTTGGTAATATTAAAGCTACTAATGAGCAGGAAGATTCTTGGTAGAGTTTGACTGATTCCTTCCAGTGGATCACAAGTCATGTAGTCTTGCCACCAATCCGGAAAAGCACCAGAGGATCGATTTTCCTTAATGGGGCTCGTCGGCGGTGTGCATCCTCCGGCTCCACCAGAAGCAGAACTCATGACTGCTACCGGCTTGCGACGGAAACAGACAGTCCTAACTTGCAAGCTAATTGGCATATAGCGCAACATATACTCCACTGTCATGCAGGTTACTATCATTGAAGAGGAAAGTGACTAGCCCCCAGAGATCCCGACTTCCACAACATGGAAAGTATGTAAGCATATCATTTGTAGGTTGTAACGACCTGTGAGCTGGTGGGACGCACCGGTAAAACTTCATTAAAAATCCTTCTGCTAGTTAGCACGTTAAAATGCGACACCACAGGCTTCAAATGCTATGCGCACATAGCTAGCGTTTAGTGGAATTCGTGAACACTGGAGGCCAACACCGCGCCCTGCAAGGATGGTATCCATCATGATAGTGGAGATTAGATTGCACTATATCTCAGGTG